GATAGTAAGATTAACTTTGTAATTATGTGATTTTAATAATTCTTGTTGCAAAATGATCATCCAGTTCGTATCTCCTAACTGTAGCTAGGTCACGCATTATTTCCACCAAATACATTTTTTACTGAAAAAATTAATAGCGTTTTTTGGACGAAAAAAAAAGGCACTTTTTTGCAAGGTAACTGAAACATTGTCATTTTAGATAGATTTACATAAATGCTACATTTGGTACTCCTATTTGTTGACTAACTCTGGTCAAAAGGAAACTGCAGTACTATTCACTATAAGGAAACTATTACATAATTTGTGAATTCTATCATCTTGCTAGTTTTTTTGTTTTTTTTAGCACAAAAATTTACGCACTTTTTAAAATAAAATTTCCTGTGCTCAAGCATCACATATCCATGCACATTGTGTAAAATAATTAATGACCTAGCTAAAAAACTAAAGCAAGGAGGACCAGATAACGAATTTTGTGATCGTACCGACGACTCTTCCTCTTGAGCCACATAATCTTTTACAATCTGTTGTTGCCAGCAATGGCTTAAATACAAGATTTGTTATACATGAAACTTTTATTTCTTTTGCAAATGGTATCTATACTAACAACAATATCATTTATACTAATCTTGAATCCTATTTATCAAAATCAAGACAAGACCACATGAAAATCCTGGGAGTGCATGCATACATGCATTGATCAATGTGGGTTTGTTTTATCAATTTTATTTGCACACAAATGGCTCTAGTGTTGCATAATCCCCAAGGAATCAATAACCAGGTCTTGCTAACCTCACCTATCTATCTCATTCCTTGAGAGTTCAGGAAAGTGTTTTATATTTGTAGCTATTATTTTATTAATAAACTATCATCATCATAAAAACAGTATAATAATAATGGTAATAATATTGATAATATAATAACAGCAACATTGCTAATAAAAAATATGAATAAAAAAAAGCAGTAGACAGTGCATGTACTTGGCACCAACAGGTTAAAAATAGGTTGGGATAGGACTCTTTCATTAATTTTATTGAAGAATTTCTTTAAAGCCCTTCGATGATTCAGCATTCATTTAATTTTTTGGCTCTTTAAACAGAAGGAAGCTGAGAAATTTGATCATCAGTTTTGCACTGTTCCTACTCAAACTTTTTTCCTGTAAGAGAACTGTCTTAATGCTTTGCTGGTTAATGGCTACTTCACTCTAAACAGAACTCCTTGTAATACATATTGAAATACTGTGAATAGGAATGAGTAATATTACAATGCAAAATAATTATGTAATTGACACATGTTATTTTTGAGTTCTAGTGAAGGTGTGACATCAAAACAAGTCAATGACATTTCATGCAGTAAGATATTGTTCATTCTCATTCAAACCAATGTTACCATACAGTATGGGACACCTAACATTATGTCCAGTTTGGATTATATATCATTCTGAATAAAACTGCATATCCTTCCTAAAAAGTTCTACTTTGTATTGTGATAAATGAGAACATTATAGTTTGCAAAGTAATCATTGTTGTGACCAAGTAATATGTAGTCAGTCATCAGACCTAATGCTTGTTCAATTTCAGGTTTGTGTTCTTCAGTAAATCTGTGGAGAACTGGAAATGTTACAATAAAAGAAAACTTACCCCAGCCTGGAAAACAGCACTAACAGGTTTATGGTCACTGATCTTCAAAGCTGGATGTGATCGATAGACATTTTGCACTATTCCATCACCATACCACAGAATTCTATCACACCAAGCTGGTTGCCTTGCCTTTTCACTGAAATTAAATTCAATGTTGATGTAAGAAATTATTATTTTTTAATTTTCTATATATCACAAATAGTTGTAAGATGATCAATAACTTTTACCAATATCTAAGAAGTACAATTTTTTTTAATATCTACAGAATTCCACAAAATGTCAAACCTGAAATCCATATATCAAAAAAAAATCCATTACTTGCCATATACTTATACTAAAAAATAAATAAATAAATAAAAATAAAATGTAATTAGTTGTAAAAGGTATTTTTTAATTAACACTGCCAGTGCATATATACATACACTGTCCACTGTGGTTTTGTCTTTTATACAATAAAGAAGGGAGCCCCCTGTGCCATACCAAACAACACGTCATGGTGCATGCATAGCCAGCTTCTCGAGGAAAATGTTTTAATGTTTAAGGTTTGAAAATAAATGTGCTAGACATCTGAGGTCATATAGCACTACGGTTAAGTATTGCGTCGGAAAGGGCAAAAGAGAGTTAAAGATTATGATAAAATGTGTTAGATGTCAAAGGTTTAAGAACGTTATAGGATAATATGGTAGTGAAAAGGGGGATAGGGGAGCAAGTGAGCTAGAGCAGAAGTTAGTATAAAGAGGAGGGGAGGGCGATTGAGTGAATTATAGTGTATCTGTCACTGGAGAATGTATAGGAAAAATGTTCTAGGAAGAATAGAGATAACTGTTGAAGAGTAAGAGAAAAATCTGGGGAGAGGGGATGATGTTAAATATCTAAGATTAGAGGGTGATTAATAAATGGGAAAGGTTAAGAAGGTAGATTGATTAAATGAATTGTATTGTGTCTGTGACTGGGGAAGGAATAGGGATAATAGGTGATAATGTTATATATGGTTGTACTAGTAGTAGGGGATTAGGTATCTGGGGGTTGAGACAAAGGATCAGGAATAGGTGAGGGAGTAGTGTCTAGGGGTTTGATAGGGGCAGTGGGGTCTGGGGAAGGATATTGTGATAAAAGAGATTCACGTGTGTATCCAGGAGGGAGTGGGAGGGATAAAAGGGAAGGATGGGGTTTTGGGGGGAGGTTCAGTTTGGGTGGTATGGGCAGTTTGGGTGGTTGAGAGGATGAGGCATCTTAGGAAGGGGTTGGGGGAACATAAGGGGGCAGAGCAAGTGAGTGAATTGCAGTGAATCTGTGACTAGGGAAGGAGTAGGGACACCGATCAAGGAAAACAGAGGTGGCCTTTGGAGAACTAGGAGGAGAAGAATCCAGGGGTTGAGAAACAGGAAGGTGGTGAAGCACTAGGAAAAATGTTTGGAGAGGAGGGGTCTGGAGAAGGACACTGTTGTGATAGAGAGGATTCGTGTGAGTATTCAAGTGGTAGAGAGGGTGGGGTATGTTGGGTGTAGGAGGAAGGGGGGTGGAGGGAACTTGGGAAGGAGGAGGATGAATATCTGCAAATACTTTAAATATAGCAGGAGTAGGAACAGAGGAACTGGGGGGTGGATAAGGGAGCGGAGTGTTCCCTTGGGTCATTTTTAGCAAGTTTCGGATGTCTTCAAGGGTTTCTGAAGAGGAATTTGGTATAGAGGACTGAGAAACAAAGGTTCTCTTATAAGGAGGAGAAGAGGAGATGGATATCTGGGGAACAGATGAAGAAGGTGTAGGAGAGAATGTAGTAGGAGAGTGTGGAGTGGAACGTTTAGGTTGTCTGGTATGACAACTAAAGTGAGGAGGGGTAGGTATCCAGGAAGTGGTAGAGATTGGAGTATCTGGATTTAGGATGGAAAATGGATTTGACTGGTGGATAGGGTGAGTAGACATAGGACGTAGGTTTTGGGTATTGGGAAAAGATGCCTGGGGGGATACAGAAATGTCTTGTGTAGATGGTGAGGGAGCAGAGCGCAGGACTGTTTTGGAATAAGCTGAGAGAGAAAAACCTCGTCGTCGTGCTTCCTGTATGGCCTCACATAGAGTGAGGCCTAGTTTTAATCTGAGGACTGCTACCTCACATTCAAACTTATAGGCAGGGCAGCTCCTATAAAACACCTTATGGGAGTCTCCACAATTGGCACATGTACGTGACTGAGCAGGGCAATTTGAACGGTCATGACCAGGTTGGGCACATAAAGGGCATAGGGGCTGTGGACCGACAATGTTTGGCTGGGTGGCCAAAACGCCAACATTTTTGACATTGATGAGGAAGGGGTTGATATTGTCTGACATAATAAGACAATCCACCAATATAAACCTCATGGGGGAGGTCTTGTCTATGGAAGCTAATCTTGGCAATATTGACATGAGATTTATGTTGGCCTCTAGGAGGAAGAGTGTAACACTGTACTGCCACTGCATCATATTCATCAAGGCAAGAAAGTAGGTCATTTTTACAGTCTGACCAGTCTTTGTTATACATGGGACAAGCATTTGGGGGAATAGAAACAGTTCCAGTACAAGTATTAAGAGTTGGGTGAGGTTCGGCAGGAATGGGCTTGCTAGTAAGGTCAGTAATAGCAGATAGTGCACGAGCTTGAGCTTCAGATGTAACCATGACAAGGTGTGAATGATCAGAGTGACCGCGAAAGGTAACCTTGCCTACTTGTTTCTGGAGGCACTGCTGAAAGAGAAGGGTATTCTCAGAATAGGGGGCTGTGGGTGGAATCACAAAGAATCAATCCCACTTGGCTGGGCCAAATAGAGTACCCAGAAGGTTTGCAGAGGTAGAGGTAGTAGACGGACGAGGGCGAGAGGAAGATGGGATGTGGAGTATAGTTCTGCCGGGGGGAGGACAATAAGGATGAAGAGTAGTAATAAGGGAAGAGAGGGTTGACATTGAAGAGGGCCGTGCTGTAGGGTATGAAGAGGAGAATATTGGGGATGAGGAAAAGGTATTTTCCAGGGGTTGAGTAATAACCTGAATGGGTTTTTCAGAATGACTAGAGTTGTTCGTAAGCGTCGAAGAGGGGGTATTAGCATCAGTGGTCGGAGCCGTGGCCATAGGAGGGGCAGGGGTCGGAAAACCATCAAAATCAAATTCAGATAGGCTATTTGATGAAGGGGCAAGCCTTAATGCCTCTATCAAGGGTAAGGAATCTTCATTACTGGCCATGGTGAGCCCGAATAAACTAAGGAAAAGAAATGGTCTACCCCTTAGAGTCCCCATAAGGGGTAAGGGCTAAGTAATTAAACAAGGGAATACCATGCCCATGGCTCCCGGAGGCCGTTCGTGACTGACACAAAGCCAGCCTTTCATCCTTTCAGCAAGGATCTCATACCTTAGGAATGGGATAGAAGAAGGGAGTAAAGAAGATACGGAAGAGGAAAGAAAAGAAGAAAGGACCAAGCAAAATTAGTTAAGGCAAGGGCTGAGGCCCAAGGTAGGGGTAATCCTCTACATTGGGTCTCAGTCCCCGTCTCCTAAGCCCTCCCACGACGACAACAAGCTAGGTTTTGGGAGGGTTCCCGAGGAAAAATCAGAAGCACGGGAAATACAAAATTACCCCACTCTTTGTTCTTGGCTAATGCACTCTTCCTACCCTGTCAGCGGGAGGAACAAAGGCAATAAAACCCCCACGAAGGCTTTCAAAGGCAGCGTACAGCTTGGGTTCATGAGTTCAGTTGTAATCCCATGTGACTCACTTGGCTTTTATTTTCATTTTCTTTTATTTCTTTTTAAGAATTTAAGGCCAATGGTTTTTGGTTTTATGGTTGGCAGATATGGGAATCCACATTTTGTGTGGGCTTGTACACACAACACACCACCTACACTTCTTCTATTGTCTCACAGATACATGGGTTCCAATCCCTTACTTGGGTGATAGTGGCCTCACCCTATGCAGGTGTTAACTTGATCTACGCTACCAAAGAAAATTTAAAGATAAACTTTTGATTGTGAGAAGACCTTGAAGAGACAAGGTATTACAACATGATGATGTGATAGGATTGAATTGTAGCATAAATGGGAAAATTTTGTTCAAGTATCTCAAAGGAGTTAGCCTACCTGAACTTGTCTACATATCCCATTCCTTGAATTTTCATTACAAAATATCAAGATTTTCATTACAATTATCATTGTTCACAATATTATCGCCATCACCAATAACAATAGTAATGCTGATGTTGTAAGGCTATATGTACTACAAACAAATGGTGAGACAAGCTTAATCATTTGTGAAAAATTTCTACATGGAAAAGAAAACTGGTATATGAATCTGTTGGATACAGGTGCCTGTATATGGCTGAAAATCTAGGCATTAGGTTTATTTGAGTGGTAACTCTCCTGCGTGTATGACTTATAGGCCCATGTCAAACAAACACTTGTGTGTAATGCCAAGACTCCTTGCCTTGCAATGTTATCTCTTTTTCTGCATCAACACTTTTCAGCTTTTTTTCTATGACAGCATATTCCCATCATTCAGCCTTCAGCCAATTTTTTTTCAGAACATGATGGTCACATCACCCATATCCAGTGGGATAACCATAATATAGCCATCTTGTCATGATAAAAAAAAATGGCTGACAAGAATGTCTTGTCATGAGTATATAAAGTACTGGAGTGAAATTAACTCAGTGGGCCTTCAGGAAGGAGCTCATTTATGAGCTCCAGCAGGATTTGCACTGATCAACAAAGGTGGAGTTTACAATTCATCAACCATGCTTAGAAGAGGGTCATCTCCAGGGGGGACACTATGTCTATGCACATGAACTTATTCCTGCCCACTGTTACCAGTAGTGTTATTGAAAACCTAAAAATATGAAAATATAAAAAATAACATAAACATGATGTTACTTATGCCTGAAGAGATGTCTGGGGTCTGCTTAACTAAAGCAGTCTATCATCTTGACACAGTGTGCCATATTCATTGTGACAAATGTAGAAAAGGATATAGGATAACATATAATATATAACATAGGATGTACCATATTCACTGCGACAAATGTAGGAAAGGTATGAATGAGAATTACTATCTTTACATTACAAGAGATGTATTTGACTAATTTTCATTACATCTGTATCATATATGCATGAATACATGT